ATGTTCAAATGTACCAAATGGCATCCCCATTGCACAGTGGTCAAGTGGATCAAGGCTTCCCAAAGGCTATCCTAAGACTTTAGGAACAATATCCATTTTCGTATGTGCAAATACTACAACAATGCCACACAGCCGGAAGAACACGCCCAAGTAAAGAGCCTTGATCATGATCTCGTCTTCCTCCGGGTGCGGTTCTGCTAAACTAGGCAGAACGGTGTGCCAGCCCATGTGCGGGTGTGTGTGTGTGTGTCACCCAGCCTCGTCATGCCTCTCCTCCAAAGCGGACCTGGACAGGACGCATCGCATGCCACATACTCAGCTTGGAGGGGTCATTCCCGGGACGGCTATATAAACAAAGATTGTGACACACCAAGTGTCTCACAAGGGGAATCAATTGTGGCTTGTGGATTCATGCGAGATGTTGAACCTTGGCCTTGCCCTGTGCTAGTGGCTGACCATACTCCCTTGAAACATGGCATATTGGATGCTGGAAAGGGGCATCTTGGAAGTAATAATTGTCAAGGAAGCCGCTCCTTGCCGCCAATAACCCAGAGTCTAAAACGACTCTGCAGATTTAACTTGGAAGCCAAAAACAAACATTTGAGAAAACTCCTTTGGTGGGACCCTCTTTTTCGGTTCCATGCTACTTTGCAGCGTACACAAAGGCATTGTTGTGTGTGTGTGTGTGTGCGAATGTGTGTGCGCGCGTGCGCGCGTGTGTGTGGGTGTGCGCGCGTGCGTGTGCGTGTGCGTGTGCGTGTGCGTGTGCGTGTGCGTGTGCGTGTGCGTGTGCGTGTGCGCGTGCGCGTGCGCGTGCGCGTGTGGGTGTGTGTGTGTGTGTGTGTGTGTGTGTGTGTGTGTGTGTGTGTGTGTGTGTGTGTGTGTGTGTGTGTGTGTGTGTGTGTGTGTGTGTGTGTGTGTGTGTGTGTGTGTGTGTGTGTGTGTGTGTGTGTGTGTGTGTGTGTGTGTGTGTGTCTGTGTGTGTGTGTGTGAGTGTGTGTGTGTGTGTGTGGGTGTGCGCGTGTGTGCGCGTGTGTGCGCGTGTGTGCGCGTGTGTGCGCGTGTGGGTGCGCGTGTGTGCGCCTGTGTGCGCATGTGTGCGCGTGTGTGCGCGTGTGTGCGCGCGTGTGCGCGTGTGCATGCGCGTGTGCGCGTGTGCGCGTGTGCGCGTGTGCGCGCGCGCGCCTCTGTGTGTGTGTGTGTGCTTGTGTTTGTGTTTGTGCTTGTGCTTGTGCTTGTGCTTGTGCTTGTGCTTGTGCTTGTGCTTGTGCTTGTGCTTGTGCTTGTGTTTGTGTTTGTGTTTGTGTTTGTGTAAAAATTGTCTGTGCTTGTGCTTGTGCTTGTGTTTGTGTTTGTGTTTGTGTTTGTGTTTGTGTTTGTGTTTGTGTTTGTGTGTGTGTTTGTGTTTGTGTTTGTGTTTGTGTTTGTGTTTGTGTTTGTGTTTGTGTTGGTGTGTGTGTGTGTGTTTGTGAGTGTGTGTTTGTGTTTGTGTTTGTGTGTGCGTGTGTGTGTGTGTGTGGTGTGTGTGTGTGATACCAGCTACAGCATCTACAGCAACCCCCTGTGATTTGGCAAACGTCCTAGATGTCCAGCAGAAAGTAGACTTTCTGTGATGCCATCCCCATGCTCCTTCGCCTGCAGCTGCTGGTTGAGTTTTTGTTGCTCTTCCACCTGCTCCTGCAGCTGCCGCTCACGCTCTGTTGCCTGCTTCTGCGCATGCTCCAGCTTCCGCTCAAGTGTCCTGTTCACAATAGAGATTGACACATATCCATGTGTCTCACTTCAAGCGGATGTCGCTGAGTCTTCCAAAAAGCGGGCTCCAAACCCTATGTCCAGCAGCCTTATGTACACGTTATGGCAGCTGGATTCTTGGATTGCGGATTCCTTGATCCGTTGCCAAAGCCGTTGCCCACCCAACTACTACTTGAAATATGTTCTTCCTGACGTCATCCTACCGTTGGTCCTTTACAAAACAATGCTGCTTCAACCCCAAGGATTTCAAAGCAGGCACTCTGTTCGTTGGGGACAAGGAGAAACGCGTGAAGATTGCACCGCCAAGGGAACGTTGGTTGTAAAGCATCCCAAAATACTCCAGACATACCATACAGTGCAGTTTGCCGGCTTCTTGGAAGGTTCCCACAGCTTCCCTGAAAAGGTGTGGCTGTTGAGACGACTCTGAGAGGATCTGCCAAACAAGTCCAAACTGGTTGTTTGTTGCTAACATTCGCTTCGCACAAAGTAATAAAAGGGCCTATATATATATATATTCGAATGGGGTTGTGGGCTACTTTAGAGCCAAACTACTTTTGTGACTACAAGGGTAAACAATTCGCAATCATTTTGCCCCTGAAAGAAAAAAAAGGAGAAAGAAACCGGGACGTTGTGTGTGTTTCTTTCCTCACACAAACCAAAAGAACCACAAAAATGCCCTCGGTGCGAAAGGGCGGGGAAGTCCTCGGTGCGAAACGCTTCGCGCGCGCGCTCCAAAGCTCTGGCGGCCTGGACCGCCAGCTGGGCGAGGGCGAGGCCTGGAAGTGGGAGAGGATGGACAAAATCCGGGCACTGGGTGGATATGTGTATATATATATAATATATAATATATACATAATATAATATATATATATATATGTATATATATATATGTATATATACATGTATACATATATATATATATATATGTGGCCATATATATATATATATATATATTTGTATATAACCGAACTTTAGGGCTTCATCCATTCCAATCGACGCCTGGCATGAATTCTGTCTGTCCCCAGTAAGGCCCGCTTTGTTTGAGTCGGCAGGGAACTTGTTGAACCAACCAAGCCCACGCCAAAGAGCCAGGGGTTGGAAACCCGAGGTTTTTTTTTGTTGCAGGAAAAGAAGTGCTAATTTTGGACCAACTGGGTGCCCCCCCTTCACAGGACGGCCGGTCACTAGCTCTGTACAGTCTGCACTGCAAAAATTCCAGGTGAGCTTCTTGAAAAATGGGTAGATTAGTTTACCAGTTTATAATGATCAAAGTCGGTCCGTGCCTAGTAAATGCATTAAGGGCTAGCGCTCACTGTGACAATAACATATCGCATATGGCCCATGGCTATGAATTCCCATAGGTTCCTGAAAAGTGGTTGGTGGACACAAAGCCCCACCCAAATTTGCACCAAAGCACCAAAAACGCCCCGCCGCACTTGCAAACCATAAGCCCCATGGAAGGCATCTTCCAAGCCGTGCGCGTGCTGACACATCGCAGGCCAACCGTCCATGCGGCGAAACACATTCGGATTGATCCGGACAGTCCAAGCAGGTATCAATCGGAGCGCGTGTGCCCTTTAGAGAGAGCATGATTTCTAGCACTTAAAACGGTGCACAGTATTAATGTCCGCCCCAACTACTGTCAGAATGGCTGCTGAATATTTACTTGAGACGAGATACATCCGCCGGTTGCAGTTCTTGTGCAATGCGAAGAAGTCTGGACACGGGACAAAGGGAGGAACTGGCTGCAAAAGCACGGATCCTGAAGCACAAGAACTCTACCACCGATCCAATGGAAGGGCAAGGAATCAAAGGCCGGTGACTGACAAGTAAGGAGAAAGAACATCCACCCGGACGCTTAAAGTGTATTTTGCACTGAACAGCCCTTCACAAACCAATGCCCAAAAAAGGTGGTTGCCAAACAGACCCTAAGTGTCCATCATACACCCACCCACGCAAGCACCCACCCGCCCACCCACTCAAGCACCCACCCACCCACCCACCCACCCACCCACCCACCCACCCACCCACTCAAGCACCCACCCACCCACCCACGCACGCACCCACCCACGCACCCACCCACCCATCCTGCCCGTGCCGTCCAAGCCACCGACACCTCCTGCTCCCTTGAGCGGGCCCTGGAGGCTCCCAAGCGCGTGGCCTCGCAGGAGCAGCAGGACCTCAGGCGGGAGAAGTTGGAGTGGGGAGACCCTGCCACGTGAATTCGGGGTTAATCCTGGAAACTATGTTTGGGTGGACAGTCGACCCTAGTATTGTTGGGCGCCAATTCATCCTGGCATCTTGGGATGTGGAGGTGAGCAACCCTAGCAGGGGGGGTGAGGGGTTGAGACTTAACTGGAGGGGGGGTTAATGGATGCAAAGCCAACCACTCGGTATTGGCTATCGCATGGGCCATCTAGGTAGGATGGTCGGTGGGTCCGAACCAAAAAAACAACATTTGGAGCATACCCAAGTTCCCCAGTGACCCTGGCCAAGAAAAGGCGCCCGCCAATCAATCAGAAAAGGGGGCGAGTCCCTTTCCTTTTGAGCTTGGGTTTCTCTCAAATTACTTGATAGGAAAAGTGGTTGGTGGACATGAATTCCCATCAAAATGAAGTCTACCAAAGGTTCCAGCCAGATTCGCGGCCATTAATGTAAGTAACCGGCAAAATTAATCATTGCGTGTGGGGAATTTGCCACCAACAGCAGACTGCAAATGATATTGTCAGTTTCTCACTCGCGTCATACCTACATAGCTAAACTTGCCAACATGGATGGACTGGGAAGACTGGGGGTATCTGGGCTAACAAAACCCCAGGCCGAAGAGGTGACCTCTGGCTCCACAGGAGGTGTCCTTGGCGATGCAAGTCCGCTGGCAGCTTCCATGCCGTTCACAATGGAGGCCCGGCCAATCCAAAAGGAAATCCCTCGAGGGAAACCACAAAGGGAGGCCTTATGAAACCCAAGGAAACAGAGTCACAGTCCAAAGCTGGCACTTCATGAGAACCGAAAGGGCTTGGGAAGCCGTGCCCATTTATGCTGAATGTCCCCTTCTAATCTTCATCCTATCAAATGTTGGGTGTTTCCTGTGGGGAAACCACAGGGAAAAAAACGATTTTGGTGACATACGGCCGAGGCAAACCACTAAACAGGGTTGCGGACAACAGGTTGGGACCTCTCGAAAAGCGGAGAAGTCCCCTTTGATTGGTTGGTTTACAACCCCCTCGGCACAAAAACCCACCCCGCTCAAAAAAGGTCAAAACACGGAGCTGCCGAACGGATCGTCCGGAACGTCCGAGGCGCCAGGAGGGCGACGTCGGACCCGTCGCGTAGCCCACAGGCCTTGGCCTGGAAGCAACACCCCGGAGTGGATGGCACCTGAACCCTCAAACTACTAAAAACACATGGGAATTCACGCGTTGTTCTGGGCAAACCTCCAAGTTTTGAGTACTTTCAGGGTCTGGCTAAGACCAAAGAGACACAGGCCCGTTTTGGGATAGGGGGTTCTGACCTGAATTGATGAAGCCGGGCCTTGACTGAAATGAAGAATTCATCCAACAAGAGTTAAACGTTGAACACACACACACACATACGTACATGCATACGACATAAGGATGCCACTTCAAAGCTTAATGTACCATGGGGCACCCTAAGGCTGGTGTTAGCAGCGCGTCGTCAGCAGCTGGGTGTTTCTGGCACACATGGACGTTGCCAAGAATAGGGAGGCCCTGCCTTGGGATTTGGCACTCGTCTAATTTCACCACCACTAGCATCAGCTTCGGGCCAAAGTCTAACAGGCATCCCGTGGGATTCGTGTGAGTATCACCGGAGAGGGGCCATGTTTGTATCCTGGTGCCAGAGTCTATGCAACCCGGAGATGTGGCCAACATGTTGTTAAAGAAATGATTTAGCAATGGGGACAATACTAAACGAAATTACTGCCATCCTTCCGACACCATAAGCAAGCTCCTAGAAACCTGTGAAGAGCAATCTCCCCCATAAGCACAGGACCCGCGTGGGGACCCTTGGAAACGAGGAATCTTATTCAGGCCAGGGGTGATGGTCCTTTGGATAGGGATTGTTTTTGACTGAGTGGCTAAAGGCGAAAGGGTCGTCTTGCCGAAGGCCACTACCAGTCATCCCAGTTTCGGGGCCGAATTTCTTCAGCCAAGTGCGTCGTAAGCAGTGATTGCGCTCAAAACTAACTGGGGCAAATTCGCCCTCAACCTGCAGAAGGCAAATAAGGTCTGCTAGTTACTTGTTGCTTGCCTTTATCATCCTTGGTGTCTTCTTGGGGTATCTTCCATGGGGGGTGCACGAGGCCTCACTTGGACCCTCCGGGAGTAAGAAGCTGACATGTGACAAGTTTTACAGGATCCAAGCAACGCACCAAGCCAAAGATATGCCAGAACTGTGGAGAACTTGGCATCCACTCACATCAACATTTGTGGCATCTTGCCTGGTTTGCAAAGAAGCGCCTTAGCAATGAATCTACATCCCAGAACAGCATGATATGGCTATGTTGCAAAACTACGGATCCCTTCAAATAAACAACAGGTGGCTTCCCCTGTCAACGTGTCATATGTCTCCTTCAATTTGACAATACGCATGCGCATGTCTGCTTTGGAGCCGTGTCATGCCTCGAGCTCCTTACCCACAACGCCCTCAACTTAGTTGGTCCGGAAAATGGCGAAGTGGTTCCCGCCCGCTTAGCGCCCCCCCAGAAACAAACAATTCAGCTCGTGGCCACTGACTCCGATGCTGAGGCTTCCACGCTGGAAACACCTGGCATGTCATTGGTTCTACCACCAAACATAACCCAACCTCTGGCTCGATGCCAAGGAGAAAGGTATGCCATAATGGATGACTTTTGGCTTGCCACATGAATACTATTGTAAATGAAGGTTAGATTAAAGAAGTCTGGCGAGTAGTACTCGTGCCATTTACCCACGTGTTTTTTTTTTTCAAATGTCCAATGTTGGTTGACTTATCCTTGGGTTGTTGTCTAATACTAATAATCATTGTCATGTGTGGTGCATTAATCCTTTTATTATATTGATCTAAGTCCTGATGTCTTTCTTGTGTAATGTAAGCCTTGTCCATCTGGAAGCTGACAGAAGGTGCCATTTAGAGAAGACCAAGGGTCTTTCAGGGGCAACGCCCCGCTCTTGTTGGTAGGTAGGGTATGTCAACTGTGAGGGAAGTTGATTCGACAAGGGTTTCAACCTGGAAACAAATGAGCCTTGTTATGGCAAGTCTTGCGTGATAGGGTTCCAGCCAATGCAATGAACTAGTCAGGGGCATGGCAGCAAGTCTTTAAACTTCAACTTCTCCGTCAGGAGAAGGTGCTGGCACAGAAACTCTGAGATAGCACCCTGGGCCTGTGAAAAGGTGCACGAGCCAGGTTATGCACACGCGCAGTTCCCAGGAGCATCGTACTTTTCAAGGTCAGTAGCCCTTGTCACCGCACTAAACACTAACTTTAAGCCGTGTTCCGTCCTATGCCTGTTGCAACCGGAGGGTTTCAGTCCAACTGTGGCAGTACCTCTGAAAGAGCGCTCAAAGGGTGAGACACTGCGCTCTTTGTGGTGGGGTACTGCCACAGTTCAGGCACTAGAAATGATAGACTGGTGCCCAGGGCACGTGTAGCTAAGACAACTGCAACGCAGGGCTACCACACTGCTTGAACTTGGTGGCAAATGTTGGACACTGACTTGAGGACTTCTGATGGGTGAGCTAGTTCTCCCCCCAGGTGAGCTCGAAATAAATTGCCCAGAATGCAACTCTAGACATGCTTGTCCCGTCTGCTTCATCGTTCAACGCCCCTGTGGCAGCCCATGCCGTAAGACAGGGCTTGAGCTTGGACCAGTGATGCTGGTGAAAGGTTGTATACGGATTGATCCTGGCAGATTGATGCGTCAACAGGGGCGTGTTTTGTGAGGGATTCGCGCCAACATGGGACACCAACTCCCATCGGACTGCAGGAAAAACCGGATTTGTGACTTGGAAAACCTCCAGGGCCAAAGGCAGAGTCTGGTTCATTTGGCGAACCACATGTACGATGCCACATTTCAAGGCCCAGTCCTCTGGGAGCTACTTTTGCGGCCCCTCCCGCCGGTTGTCGCTTCTTCCATAGGGCAAATTTCAGGCCCACGGGAAAAACCTCGGGTTCAGGGCCAACCCACAAAGCTCCCCGCCTCCTGTCAGTCGATTTCTCGGGCCCCGCGCCTGGCGCAGGCGCTGGGGGCTGGACACCCGGAGCAGCTCCGGACTGGGGGACTTCAGCTCCTCGCACGGCCACAGCATCCTGCGGGCCGAGCGCGTTTGGGCTTCGTTCTAAAGGCGGGCGGCAGCTACTGGGTCCCCGAAAGGGTCGCATTTTGAGGGGTTCTCAACATTACCTTAAATCGCAGGCCGCCCAAAGGCCTGTCGAATGGCCCTGAAGGCAAAGGAGGTCACTTAACAAAGCATTTGATGGCTGTTGGGGGTCCTGGTTTTTCTCACTTCCTCCCACTCACTTGCAGGGAACCCTAGGTGCCTGTCAACGGGAATACGTCCTTTGCTCTAAACCCCATGCTAAATGTACCAAGTCATTGGAGTCACTCGGGATAGCCACCTGGTCCCTCGCCTAGGTCAAAGAAGTTTGAGCCCTCCAAGGGCTCCCTTTTAGTCACGGCCCTGCAACCCATCTGGCTTCCCTGAGATAGGCGCAAAAGCGCCTACCTTGAAAAGACCAAACATAAACACACGCATACTCGCATGTTGCAACCAACTGGGTTGTTTAAAATTTAAAGACATCCCCAATCCGAATTCGTAGTAGCACGCCACTGCAAGGGAAACCATAAGGATATGAATTGATTTCGATCAACCCAACGGTAGCACACAGGCCGGGTTCCCATGTGCACGTGCGCACAAAAAACGAACCATAAAAAGATAAAATACAAACAATATGTATATATAAAACACGCTCATAGCGCCTCAGCTGGCTCCTTGAGGAGCGATGTGCGCAAACCCTCCGACTCCGAGCCAAAGCCATGACGCAAGGCCAGCAGGTGGTTTGCGGTTCACAGGTTCACATGGCATCCCAAAAAAAGGTTCCCCAAAAGAAGATTCCTCTCTAAAAAAGCTGGTTTTGGGATACCCATGTTAATCATTTCCCCCCAAGCTCGCTATAGATTGCCGACAAGCCGTTGGGCCCCTGCTCGGGTCAATGCGAAGGGACGCTCGAGACCATGGTTTCAACAATACCCGTAATTCGAACATCTTGAAACTTCCAAACGGCACTTACGAAACACTGGGTACAGAAAGGCGTGAACAAATGGAAGATTGGTTTGACCGAGTCAAGTCAAAAGGTAAACCCAGGATGGTTCCTGGCGGCGTCCACGCAGCGGGCCCCTGGAAGACTATGGAACAAAAGACTCGGGCACTGGGAATCAAATTGATCCTTCCCCTAGCCGACCATTGCCAGTCACACACTTTGACCTGGACCGTTTTGCAAGTGATTGTGGAATCTACCGTGATATGATACATATGGTCATTCTCTTGACAGCTCATCAGTTGGAAGGGATTCCCTTGGTATCACAAAAACTGGCATCACAGAAACTGGCATCACAGAAACTGGCATCACAGAAACTGGCCCTGAGACCCAATTGTCCACAACCATCATCTGGCAATCGCTCGAACATTCATCATGGGTCAAACGCTTCCTTCGAGTCCCGGAGAACGGTAAATACAAACAAACCTGCTAAAGCAGAACATGTATGACCGACATTGCAGCAAAATCACAAAGCCTAAAGTAGCCAGGCTTGTCTGTTTATCATGTAGCCAACATTTCGTGCCCTTTACCCCAACCTAAAGGGTTGTTCCCACCCGACCCCCCTTCGTGGACGTGAGGTGCACATAGCTAGTCTCCTCGAGTCGATGCTTTGTCTTTGCTCCCCCACTAGTCAATGGAATCCCCGGGTACACCCGCGACACAGTGAAGAGTTCCCTTTCACATCGGGCACTGCCAAGAAAACAAACAAGGAATTCATGGATCCTTGGTTCTCATTTAGCGGGCAACCACTGGAGGGACTATTCATCAGCAACAATCGTGCCCAAAGAGTCCTCACTCATACATACCACAGTCAAAATATGTGGTTCCCGACAAGGACATTCGAGACTTAGTGAGTCCGCAAAATAAGCAGTGAGTCCGCCCATGTCCCCTCCCAACTGAACCAAAACGGTACCGGATGCTTTGGCCGAACCTCGTATTTGGACGAATTCCCACCCACCAAACCCACAGCCTGAAAACGGGAGCGCGTGGACCGCATGGGCAGCTGACATGTCGTGCCCTCTGCACTTTCAACGACCTTCAGCGGCTTTTCTTCACGCTCTCCATTTCAGACCGAAACCTGACTCTACATCCAAGCACTGGACGTGTTCGGCGAGGGTGGAACTGCAGGATAGGGGGGTCTGCCAACTAGAACTTTATAAAGCTTTTGACATATGGTCAGTAAAATAGAAGCGAGTTACCATGGAAGATAGCCCGAACACACAAACACGCACACAAACGGCCATCCAGCCACCTTTCACACACAAGGTGCCTCTAAACCGACACTGCTGAATATGAGTGGGTTCGAAAACACCCCAGGATGTCTGGCACGACTTTGTACGAAGAAGTGCTGTAATCCGTCCAGTAAAACTGCCTGTGGAGATTGGGCAAGGTGATAGTCTATCTTTTTCGTGGAACCCAAACGCACGATTTTGAGGACCCCCCAATCTTCAAAAAGGGAGCAATTGCCCATCCATTCGGGATCAAACCTGCGAGCGCGAGCGATGGACCGCTTCATTTATCCAGCCATGCACTGGTTGCAAAGGAACGTCAACCAAAACCTTAAAACAGACTTGCAAAAAAGAAGACTCTTTTTGATTCATTGGTCAACCGTTCAATTTTGGAAGAACGGAAGCTCAACGTATATACTCCTCCTATACCAAATTCATGATGTATTCGCGCGGTCAGGCATTCAGAGAGCCTTTCCGGGTGTTGGTTTACTTGAACGTCCCAAATTTGAGTTCCCGTTCCTCTCCATTTGGGTTATTTTGGCGAGCCCCTACATGGCTGGCTTTCTGTTGGTTCCCGTTGACACAACACACACACACACACTTGTACCTGAATCCATACCCTCCTCTTCACCTGCAACCGCCGCGTGGCCTACGCAGGCCAAATCCGTGCTTGCTAAACTTGAAGCCTATGGGTCGCATCCCCCGACTGCCAGTCACCATTTTTGGAAGCTCATGATAGTTTGCTCTAAAACTGATCATCCCCCGTTCGTCGGGGGTGCAACCCCACCTACCCTTCAAAATTTCTCAGTTGCCACGCCCAGGTTTGCCGAGGCCGAAACCCCAACAAACGCCTTGTGTTTACGAGTCCAAGGCCCTTTCGATGCAAGAAAAACACCTATTCTCTTGCAGGTGCAGACAGGGAAGCTCAAAAAAACAACCTATTTAGGCGAGCACCGAGTATTCGATGGTGCGCACAACCCATGAAACACTGCATCGTGAGTACGTCAAAAGGAGCTCGCCCCTCCAGAGGGTGGAAGTTGTGTTTGCTAGGATGAAGAAAGGCACACCGTCTGGAAGTTGAGGCGCGCACACACGCACAACCAAGAAATGATGGGTTTCTTTTCGTGTGTTCGACTGCTTGGATCCTCACAAAATGCCCTCCTGGTGCTCTTGAGGGAATGCCACCAGGTCGCCAAAGTATTCAAATGAGAACCTCTGAACAGGTCACTACTTCAAGGCCGCTGTTGTTTTGAGGCCGGCTTCTGGGCGCGGCCAGAGGGTGATACGCCGCCGTCTCCGGCGTAGAAGAGCGGCAATCTCGCGGCCGGCCAGCTCATTGCCGCCTTAGGGAGAAGCAAACCTCGTTTCATAAGTTGGTATCCCCGGACAATAAGTGCTCCGAGTGGGGTATGTCTAATGACTCCTGCCTTTGGGAGACGTATTCAGAGGGGAGATTGAGCACATACTCAATGGGGTCATCTGAGAAAAAACGGTGCATGGCTTGGGAACCGACCTTGTCAAATTGGCGTGCTGTTGCCAAAGTCACCAAGTCGTGACAGAAACGGACATGATCCCGGTCCTAGAGGCTCCATCGGGATCCCAAGTCCAAACCGACGCAACCCTGAAAAAAAGACGTGCTGCTGAAAAGAAAACGGATCAACACGGCTGGACACAGCATCAACCCCTTAAAAAATACCGGCCGCTGGACACGACACCCTCATGCTCTGAACAATGTGAGGCCCCCCAAAAATGGCGGAGTCGACCAGTCGACCGGTCTGCGCGTGCTTCGCGTGTTGCAGGCCATCCCCGGAGCGTGAAGACAAACGGCGCAAAAAGCGGGGACGACCCTTTCGAATAATGGGTGCCGAGTCTCGAGTCTCAGCTTCAGGGAGCTTGAGCAATATTCCGCACCCAGGTGGCCATGAGTCAAAATCCCGTACCCCCCCGTGAACATCCCAATCCCCACGAAAATAGGTTCTAAAATGGGTGGTGCACCTACCCCAAAATGGTACCATTGGTTTTGACAACCACAGCCAGGTAGCCCTAGGTTGTGTCAACTAGCCAGCCGGCGGAAGCCATGTCAATGTGAGCCGAAGCGCAGTTTGGCCGTCTTGTCGTTCTTTAAGGTCACCGTGGTGAGGCCCATCACCGCCAAAGGCAGCAGTAGGCAGAACACCACCGTGGCTTTGGTGGAGATCCACCCAGCCACCCGGCAGCCCCTCGAATCGAACGTGAACAAGATGATGTGAATCTTAATTTGGTGGGTGACCCCTGGGAATCACTTTAGGTGGCCAACTTTCAAGGGTTTCCCCCTTTAATTTCGGTAAATGCCATAGCCATGTGAGCTGTGGTCAAAATTTGACCTTGAGGGTTCTGAGAACCTTTTCGGGGGTGGGAAGGCGGCCTCTGTCTGCCCACTGCCCACAATGGGTGTGTCTTAAAATATGGGGACCCGCAAAATTGTGGCTTGCCGTTTCGTTTCTCATCAACGCTGTTTCAAAAATAGATGACCCACTTGGACCTACGGTCGGAGTTTCATTGGGAACCCTGCCATCAATTCGATGACGGAACGTGACACCCCTGTTTTGTCCCATGCAGGGCCATTGTGGTGAGTTTCATGTTAGGCGGGTAACTTCGAATAAGACGACCCCGGATGGAAACCAAGCTAAACGCTGGTCAACTCCGAGCCAATCCGTATGTATTCCCGCTTAGCTGGGAATCGGGCGGAATTTGGATTTCTAGTGACCCCCAATTGGGGTCAATTGCATGGGGAATCGTGACAGAGTTGGTAGCCAGACTTTGGCATGTCAAAGGGTCATGACCCTGGAATCCCCAGGAGGGGCAGTTCCCGTTTCATCTCCCCCATCTGTTTATCTAAAACGTGGAACCCAACGAGAGTGGTTCGGCGCCTTTCAAAGGAGACTCCGCCAAGAGTTTGTTTTGGGGCGGTCGATGTTCATCTGGAAAGCATGCACCAGAAAACTCCATACCGTGTGGTCAGGAAGGCAACAACCAGTCTGACAACTGGGTCGATCTGGGCAATCTGTCTTGGTCCCGGTGCTTGAATCGGTGTGTAGCTCAAAGTAGGGAGCAAGCCCTCTGGGTGGCTGGTGGAGGAAACCAAAGGGAACGCTCGAAAGCAAGTAGCCGGGGCGATTGGAAAACTGGTCGCAAATTCGTGGAATGTAACAACCCACTCCATTAACTTGCATTTACACCTCTTGTTCCGTGCCTCTCCGCGGACTTAACCGCTCAACCAACTCAACCCGATCCTTGGACCAGTCGCTTGAGCTCCAACAATGCTCAAGCCGGCCAACCAACCAAGACTTTGCCGAGGCCGAAGAACTTCAAGATGTCCGACTCTCCTTCTGAGATCATGCCTTGGGAAGCCTAGACGTCGTTTCAGGTCAAACTCCTTGGGCAAATGACCAGAGCATCCTTCTTGGCTGGCACTATCGGCAAAATCAGAAACAGGCCCGCTCCAAAGACTTTCAGCTTGCGGTCGAAGGCACAAAGATGTGGTCACAGACAGAATGGCGGAAGCCGGGATCGCGATCCTCCACAGCTCCTGGGTACGTCATGGCCGGCCAAAATAATTATTCCTCACTCGTGTTTTTACGGCAAAATCAGTGTCCCCCAACACAAAATGTCCACCCCCGCGCCAGGTAGGCAACTCCTTTTGTAAGCCTACAAGGGCTGCAAGCGAGGAAGGGGCACTTTTTGGGGGGAACCTGAACATTCTCCTGACCCAACGCCGTCCCAAGTGGGCCAAAGGCTATGGAGTTTTGAACCGAACCTCACCTGTAGTGGTTTCCGCAATAGAACATCCCGTTGTTGGCCAGGTGTTGTCTGGGATACATGGAAACCTCCGTATGGTTGGCAAAGAATTCAAATCAAGACGGGTGCTTGAATGCTTGACGGTCTTTTTCTCATCCCAGATCCACAATGATCCACACCCGACAAGTGCATGTTGAGGCTGTGAAATAGACCAGGCCAAAATTACTGTATTTCCCAAATCGGTAAGGCACTTGCAAGGCAAGCTCAATTTGTGAAGAGAACCTAGGATTAAAGAAATTCTAACTGATCTCTCAGGGGAGTCCAATTTGAGAGGGACTCCTTCGCTTCGGGAACCCTAGCCAGCCACCAGGCTGGATGAATCTCCTCCGTCTCGGTGAATCGCTCGACGGCAAATCGGCAGAGTCATCGCACGGGCCCTTTTTGACTGGCTCAGTTTGGCTATACATGGGGTTATAAAGAGAAATCGCCCCGGCCCGCAGCTCAAAGATCAGAGAGACATGCACATGCCCGCATCGCAAAAACCCGGCCACGCACAACAGGCTTCCCTATTGTTCCCTTCCGAGTAAACCCCATTTGGGTATGTCTCAAAACGGATTGGTTCCTTTTTCTTTCCCTTGAAACCAGGCCCCAAAAAGTGTACCCCAGAAACACACACACACACAGCTACACGCACACCTACACACACACACTCCTCGCCCATGGTAGGCACCACGCCGGAGGACGAGGCCACCACTACGCCCCCTGGGTGCGCAGAGGTTGTTTGCCACGGAAAAAGGGACGAGATGGCCCCCTGTTGCAGGGCTACTCATTGGCGCCCCTACCCATCAGAAGTGCTCCCAGAAACCTTCTAAGAACCCCTTCCAAGGTTCTACTAACCTTTCCTGGGTTGTGGGCGGGGTTCAACCAGGGGTTTGTTCAACAAGGAACCTTACAAAATAGTGTCCCGTCAATTAAGACCAAAAAGGTAAAGACCTCAGAAATTGGCCCACCACTTTGCAAAGGAAACACAGATTCGGGGAAACAAACACGGTGGGCATCTGTGCCGCCGTATGCAGCAAGATGCCTAAACAGGCTTGCTGACGGGAGAAAAAAAGGCTCTCACAATCAAATATTCCATTGATGTCCCGCTTTCCTGCAAAATGGGCCAAGCATGGTGCCCATAGCCCCATAGCCCCATTGAATTGAACCCCATTCGCTAAGCGTCCACGTGTTGTTTGCAGCCAAGTCCATCCGAAATCAATGAACAAAAATGAAGGCCTCTTGAACAGCATATAGCACTGATGATCACGACTCCTGGCAACTGTAATTTCCTAGTCTCAGCTTTTGCCCCGAACTCAAAATCATATGCTCAGGTTGTTCCATATGTCGTGAACCTTTAGCTGCAATAATATTAATGTTCAGATCATGGTCTGTACCTCGTAGACCTTAACATGCAACTCCTATGTTCAGATGATGTTATCTAGTTGGAAAACCTTCAAATGCACTCATTGGTTCAGTGTCTGTTCCGTATTTGGTGAACCTCAACATCCAACTCATACGTTTAGATTATACTCTATGCTTCGTGAACCGTAAAGTTGGAAAAGAAGTTCAGTTCAGGAAAGATCCCGGCAATGCCTCCGTTGCGACCGCTGGTTTCAGGGGTTGCCAAGGATTGAAATGCCAACAAAAACCACCGCCCGCCTGTGCTTAATTGATGCATCGCTGCTTTGTTAAGCACTTGTTTAGGCGAGTGCCAGGGCGAACAGTTTGGGTCTTATCTGGGATGCACTTGGTTGGCTCTTCCAATGCCAAGAAGGAGGTGCAACACCCATGTTGACCAAACATTCAGCCTTGAACACCGTCTTCCCCACCTTCTCCATATGCTGCCAACCCATGAAACTGGTGGCCAGTGCTCTTGTCCAAACCCAGCACAAGGATTTAGAGGAAACGGCCCATCGCGTCTGCTGCTTTGCCGGACATGTGAAAACCACGCCGGACACGGGATATTTCAAGGATGCGGGGTGGGGGCCTCCTTTTGGGGCTGGTTTAAAGGGAAGCAACAGGTAATACCCGTACCATTTTGTCAGCTCTGTTGTTGAGTCACATCTAAGAATACCCGACAATATTCCCACCAGAAACTGATATAGGGGACTACCTGCTGACCTTCCCCGTCAACACAAATTCTGGAACTATCTTGGCCTCAGATCGCAATGAAAGCTGAAGTCTTTGCTGAGTGGGGAAGAGAGTTATTTCTCTGAATGGTTGAAAGGCTGTTTCAGTCATACCAAGCCGGTTCTGAGGAAAAGAAGCAGAGAAAGCAAAAAGGAAGAAAACAATTAAAACACATGCTCTTTTGTAGAAATTGGCAAACATTGCAAGATTTTGTTGATCTTTATGCTGGTTCTAAGCACTTCAAAACAGCTTTAACTTGCACCTCAACCAGACCAAATTCAAAATGCAGCTTTGAAAGAAAAGTAGAGTGTATTAGCACCAAGACTGTCGTCTGCGCGCTTCTGGGAAGAAAGAAAAGGAAAAAAGAGAGGGAAGAGAGGGCAGAAAAGAAGAGTTAAAAGTTTCAACTGACCATTTTGTTTTCCTTTGTGGGAGTCTCCAGTTTCATCACCACAACCAACCAGCAAAGAGCAATTTCCAATGGCAAAAAAGGACCCAGGCTTCCCTGTAAACCAACCCCAAAATCGGCACCGGGTACCCTCTTCGAACGGCTTAATGCTGACCCCCAGAGTATTAGCCTGTTCTATCACTGGGGTGTTCTCCCCCCCCATTTGAACTACAGGGGTTTATGAATCCGGGACGCTTCCAGTCCCCTACCCAAACGACTCCCAAAACCGAGGGGCCGCAAAGGCTGGCGAAGCCTAGCAGGGAGTAGAGGCACAGGAGCCGGTCCTCGTAGAACAAAAAGGCCGCGGCCGCGATGTGCACGTACTGCCACACGTTGTCCACAATGACCTAACCAACCGACCCAGTGGGGTCCACCAGTCTCTCCCCATTGCCCAAAGGAGAAGTTGATTTGCAGAAACTTGTTGGCCCCACGAAAGCTGGGAGCTCTTGCAGGTCCTTCGTGTCCATCCAAAGTCGGCTTTTACAACTATCCAAAACGGGGTCTTCCTTATTCTGAGACAAACCCGCCTCACTTCCTGGGTATTGGCCAAACAAGTCCGCACTTGCTCTTTGCCAGAGGGTGAATTAATCGCTCACCATAGAAACATGTGCAGAATAATTTGTGCTGCATCCGTTGAGAGCGCTCGCAGCGCTGAGAACGCAGCCGAGACCTTCTCCTGGATGTTGTCCAGGGGTGTCTTTGCTTTTGAAGCGGAAGCGCCGCTGTCCATGGGCAGCCCATCCTCCATGGTTCCTGCGATGGCATGCCCGATCAGTGAAACCCACGTGCCCGGTCACCCGCACGGTAGAAGCGATGAGTTGGACTCCATTCAGTTCTTAGCACGCCCGCCAAACAAGAAGGGGGATGTCTTGGTGACACTGAACTGAGACATGATGAATGGGCCACAGGAAGCCTCACGGGTCAGTTTTCGGTCGCAAACTAACACCCGGCTTCGCCGTGCAAGTCGAGTCGGAAGTAGGGCTTTCGATATCCGAGAAACCAAAGGACATTCGGTCCACTTTGGACTGAGGCACCTCAAGCCCCCACCCAACGAGGTCGCTGAGCTAGCTTGGCGCTTGTAACCCTACTGGCAGGGATGCAACAGCCTCAAAAGGGAGATCGCTCTCGGTCTATGAAGTACACGTTCCTTCGTTCCAAGACGAAATGTGAATTTCCAAAGATAGGAAACCCCCAAACATGGTGGGTGTCCTATTGCATTCTCTTTAAACACCGACACATTGAGAGGTAGAAATACCGATATTCTCCTTTACTTCCAGGTTTCTGTAGGGACTGCGGTTTGGGTAATTTGGCCCTTGCCAAAACCATCGCGCGACTGAGGTCCCTGGCCTTCTGGGCTCGCCAAAGTGACGCCCTCAATACCCGAATCAAAGGCGGTTCATGTCAAGCTTTGAAAGTAACTTGACGCATGTAGCTAATCAATGTCGACCTTGCTTCAAAGCCTGAGATCCCATACATGATCTCATGTGCAGCCCCTTAAGTGAATGGTTCCCACAATCCAACCAAACATCGGCACGGGCGCTGATCAAACAATAAAACTATGGGTTCATACCAGGGGTTCAACGCGCGTTCATACTTGCAGCTTTGACTGCCTTCAACCCAATCACTATATAAAAGAAAATTTGTCTGACCTTCAACAGCCAGTTTGAGAAGCTCCAGACCCGCAAAAATGCGAATGCGGTTTTTCCTGCCTTCCCTTTAAACAGACATTCAAAAAGATCATTGGGTTCCACAAAAGATCATTGGGTTCAACAAAGCGACCCACCTTCCACAGAGTGGCAATATCCAAGAGAACGCGACCGCTCCGGACCCAGGCCTTGGCAAACTGACCACTGACCACAGACGGACAGCTACATCTCCAAGCTCAGGCCAAGGCGGAGGCGCGAAGGTTGCAGTCCAGCGAGCCACGGCCAAACAAATTCCGCAGTTCCACTACTGGGCAATTGCAATGTGGGGTTCGTGCCCTGGTTTCTGCGGGAAACTTTGCGGCGGGGCTCCATAACCACGCAGCCTCACTTCTGATTTTGGAAGAAGGACGGGCCCACGTGGGCCGTTTTGGATGGCCCGTGACAAGTTGGCTTCTTAGCCTTGCCTTGTTGGGGCCTGCCTTTCGAGACAAAGCCACTGGGTGGCACCTTCTCGCAACCTCCCCATGTCGCTATTTGCCGGGCAACGGGCAACTATGTTGCGCGGGCTTGCGTGGGTAGACTCATGTAAATTTGCCAAATAGTTGCAAAATAGTTCCGCTCATTGAATAGTTGCAAACTGCATTTGTCACATGTGAATTGTGACAAGGGCAAAACGTCTGGGAATCCTGGAACCCCTGGAACCGTATCCATCAACATACTACATGTCCAGGGGGCATGGTTTCCCTGGGGGTATCTCCTGGGAGGATGAAATCAACACCAAGAGGATACAAACATGCCCATCCTTGAAAGCGCAACTGTCCGCAGGCCTGCCGACGCTCCTTTGTCATGCGGCAGATGTCTCGGCACTGAGCAGGCGGTCAGTTTCTGACTCCGCCAAAGGCTCCGAATTCACACATCTTCCAGTCGCCCAGCAAGCAAACGAATCTCACTGCATGCTCTCCTCTGCCAAAGGGCCCGCCTCGCTTTCAAGCCCGTTCCAAACAAAGGGACTGGGTCCCAACCATTGGGCGTCATGTTTGCCTGGCGATGAAAAACCGGGGATGAAGGCCCTTCATACGGGTGGGATCGTAAGGAAAAACATACATGTAAGCATGGGTTCCCCCCGCTGCACAACACCGTTCGAAATACTTGGCCCCTTCTACCAGACGTCTAGTTGTCTAAGAGACCTCATGCTTTCATATTGGATCTTCAGAAAATGAGACAACCACTCCACTAGGCAACTGGGCAACTGGATCAACTTCCTAACGGCGGCATGGCCTGGACTCGGGTTCAAGAAGGCTGGGCCCATGAAAGCCCAGACCTCAGGGTTTGGCACTTGGCAAAGTCTGACTTTCTAGTTTCCCATGTTCCCAACATGTGTTTCAAACATAGACTAGACAAATGTGGGAGAACTCTAATGTGGCCACAAAGGCTTGGTAAGAATAAGTATCATTGTGAAAGTTCGGGAAACCGGCCGAAGAGACTTGTCTAAGTCCCGCTTCCTGAGTAGCTTGGTCAGACAAAGTCCGGGGGCTTTTTGATTACCACTAAAGCCATCGTTCCAGCACGTGAAGAGTAAAAGTCCACATAAATGTTGGCTTGGTTCATAGTAAAGCCAGTAAATGTTGGCTTCGTATGTTCTGTTCCGTTGGAGAAGGAATGGCCGATGCCGCCGGTTCTAAGCCTGGCTCTCATTCCACCGGAGCAACCTCTTGCTCTCCTGGCGCGATTCTTTCCAGCCGCGGGCTGGTGCTGATCTGCGTCAGGGTGTGGATTGCACATGCAAACCACCTCCAATTGCTCTCGTTAAAACAAAGGAAGTGGCCAGGAGGCTTTGGAAGACCACCATCATCTTGAAGAGGCCACCCCGTCCACTTCCGTGTAAGCATGTAAGCGGACGGAAGGGAAAGCAAGCATCGCGAGCTGTCAGAAGTTGGAAGCAGCATACAAGTATCACCAAAACAAGCTCCTGTCATCTCCTGTCAGCCCTGGAACCTCCAGGGAACCTGCTTGGAACGCAAAAGGGGAGGTACCCCAAACCGAATGGCTGAGACCCCACAGATGCTGTCGTTGGGAAAAGACTCTGACTTGGCTTTCTGTGGATGAACGTTGCTTCAGGTTTGACTTGTGTCTTCCTGAGTTTGATGAGCGATGGGTCGATTCCTCCATGCTGCCGGAATGCGCGAGTGAGTCGGGCTTTGCAAATCAATACCGTCGATTGGATCCACATCAAATTATTCTTCCTGGGAACGGGCAAATCTCAGCTCAGTCCATGTTCAACATGGTGAGCCACAGAAGAAAAGCCAAGGAGAAGTGTCAGTGCCCGCCTAATGTCGTGACTCTACCACGGGTACAAACCGCTTAGATCTTACAATCATCCTCAAACCAGATGGAAACCATTGCTGACCAGGCGCTTGCAAGCATCCTTCGCAGGCTAGTAAAACATCTACGTCCTGTGCTGATCCCAAAAAGCCAGCCAGCTATAAAGGCCAAATTGGGGCGATGTGGCGCGGCTCTTGTGCGTTTTCAAAACACCGCTTACTTACTCTTGCCATGGACCCTTCAGGGATTTCGACCCATGCCACAAGCATGGCCCACATGTTAGTGGAACTTTGATCATGGCACATGTGCCGCTCCTGGCAAAATTGCATGTTTCCCCAAGAGCACAGGCACATGTCCCGTGGCCCCTAAACCAAGCGCTGTCGGTTCATATGAGAAATCACGTGTCCCACCTTCGTTGCGCTTCTTCACGCCCACCGGCTCGAGTGTGAAAGATTTCCAAAGTCCTGGCGCTCGGATAAACGAGTCACCGAGTCACTGCCTTTCATTGTTTGCGTACTGTGCAATGTTAGTTGTGATCATGGAAATACTACTGTACTCATTGATCCCCCATACTACTACCCACCTTGGTTGCCCTGGACCTTCTAAGGGACTAGCATGTGACCATTTTCCGAAAGCAGGATTTGGGCCGCGAAACATGCACAGTCTTCCTTTGGTTTCCCTTAACACACCGCCCAACTTAGTCCCGATGAAGAGGGAAACACCCCTCAACACCGATGCGCCGAAAGCGGTTCCATGGAATCCAGTCCTCACCCACTCAAACCTTGCTAAGCTGAGTCCAAACCTTTGGGCAAATACTACAAGCGACCAGGGTGAGGCCTTTAGCCCCTCAAACATGGAAGTTACCCCCAAACAACAAACAAGGCCTGGTAGACAGTCCAGCTGCCTTAACGCATCAGGCTTGTGTTGCGGCCGCTGCGCATCCTCGTGCATTTGGCGCGTCTAACAAACCTCAAGTAAAGAAACGACGCACCGTCAAAAGGCACGACTTGAGGGTTGCAACACCAAAGAAGTGGATTTTCCTCCCCAAATGGCTAGTTGGCAGCCATGTGTCCGAAGATCCAAGAGGGAAATGGCCAACAGCTTCCCAACCCCTGCCACAAGGGGCGAACGCATAACACACCCATGTTTGCCCAAATATACACAATCCAACCAAAAATCAGTTTATTAGATTGTGGGCCACATTTAGTGTACCGGGCCTAAAGGAAAACCGAAGCTCATGTTGAGGCGGCCCTTCTAACCCCCGCCTGGCATCCTCCAAACAAAGGCCTGAGTTCTCCCAAATTGTGGTTGTATGAGAGCAACCCCCGAACAGACAGCGGGGCATCCCCAGCCAGCATCTCCAGCATCCCCAGCCAGCATCTCCAGCTTCCGCTGCATCATCTCTGGCGCGCGACTGGACTGCTAGAATCGGACCTCGAAAAAAAAAAAAAAAAAAAACCCTCGAACACAAACATATGTCACAACTCTGCTAAATATAACATAAACAAACACCATAAATACAACATGGCGGAAACACGACTCGAGTGCATCTCCTGGTTGGCCCAGTCTCGTTTCGCCAGGTCCCGCGGATCCGCCGCGTCCATGCCGGCCCTCGGGCGAAACCACTGTCTTGAAGCTCGGCTTCCATCAACAAAAACCGACTCGAAAAACCCGGGAGAGTCTGCTAAAAACTCCCTTGGCGGCTTCCCTTAAGCCTTAAGAAAGCAAGCAAAGCAGACAACGCTCTTCCACTTCAAAGCCCAACAAGACTCTTGAAGTGGCTGCTGCGACAACATGGATCTCTCTCGCTCTCTTTCCCCTTCTCTCTCTCTCTCTACACATAATATACATATATATATATATATGTATAAAATATTGCCCACAAAACAAACTTCAATTAGATGAGTCAACAGAAAAAAAGAAGAAGACAAAACAAGAATATCATGTGCCATCCACTGCACGCCAGTTCATCCCCATGCCAAAGGCAACATATTCAACTATGATTTGCCTTCCTGCCAACAGACATGAAAGTGCACAGGGCCCCCCTTGCCACTTGGCAAGTCAGCGTTCAGAAGAGGCTTGTGCGATTGTGCACTTGAATGTAAGTCCCCCAGCAAAGAGAAACAAAAGGACCCTATGACCCTATACCAGTTTCCTGTCTGTATCATTTGGTCATTGCATTGAGGTTCAGAGCAACCCTGATTTACTTCCACAGCTCAATCATGATCTAATCCGTAATCCGTAATCCGTCCACTAAGTACAACAAGCGAAACCAGGCACAAGGACCTTGCAGAATGACTTTGAGCAGCTCAAGATTTCCTTGTGGTGTGTCCTTCGGGCTAAAGAGAAACCAAAGGACGACTCCGAAGCCGACTTCCTTCCAAGCCGCCAGTGGAAGGCAAACTCCTCCTCGTCCTCCCCGCTGCCCTGCATGCAATGTGCTCAACGAGGTGTGGGGCCCCAAAATTAGAAGCGGAATTTGGGCTCGTGGAGGAAATTGCTATTTTTTAAGCCATCCCAGGCTACCTGTGGCGAGAAAGAACGACTTGGCAATGTATCGGATGCATCCCACCCCCAACCCGCCCTCGCTACCATATCCCCAAGGCCTCATTAGATCGTGTTTGTTCGTAAGAAAAAGAAGAGGCAAAACATGAAAAGACACTAGATCCAGGAATCCAAGGTACATGCTCTTCTTTTCCCTCGAGGTAGTGGTTTGGTGCGGGTGGCAACCAAACCAAAGATCTCAGCCCTCGTATCCCGCGCGGCGAGCGAGAGGCGCCTCGTGCTCGTCGTAGTAGCCGCCGTAGCTCGGGGACATGCCGGTGCCGCCGCTGAGCTCCCGAGAGACCTCAGCTAAGGGATGTCCGTTCCTAAAAGATCCGGGTGACGAGCGATTTGAATCACCCTCTTGAGGGAACTATGGAGGATTTTGCCTTATGGACACAGACATATCCTCAGCGAACACAAACTTAGATGGCGTGCGAGTTGGAAGAATGGTGAGCAACCCTAGCTAAGATGGCTGTCCAGGGTTCCGTTGCCCCCAAACCACCCCCCAAAGAGGAAAAGCTGGTATGCAAGCAACATATACCGGTACCTGCTATGTAGCGGAAATATGCTCTCTTTTTCAATCGGGGGTAGTGGAATCCCTCTAAGACGCAGGACAGATTCCCCGAATCGATTTCTCCGACTCGACTCCGCTCTGCTCCGTAGAGAGTTTCCCGATGGGACAACAGTGAAACATCAAACATCATCGAATACAAAAACAAGCAAATTGTTTACATGATTAGAGTTAGGCCCAGTTACAGAATGTACATGTATTGCTTGCTTCTCTTTGAGTTACTGGTAAAATGTAAAATGTATCCTACGTCTACCCCAGTTTAGCCCTTCACCAAACACCATTGAGGGCTGACCTAGTTGTGGTTCGGAGAGTTTCAATCGCCCGCATCAACTCATCAGGATTTCAATGGTCCCATCTATCGAGGCCCCGTGCGTATCTACACCACTCCTGGTTGTGCTGCTCAAAGCGGAAGGCCTGCGCATGGAATCCAAGCCACGTGTAATACGTACCAATGCTGGAACAGCAACACATGATAACCAGTAAAATGTAGCCCTGACATACACACGCCTGAGTGTACATATACCAAATCATTTGCATGTGTCAAAGCACACAAATTGCCTCGAGCACTGAAGCAACCTCCGGCAATCTGAAAGTCATATGCACGGCAAAAGGCATACGTTCTGTAAATTGAGATGTCGATTCTGTCGCGCAGCCAGCCGCATAGGCACCGTTTCTAGATACCGTTCACAAGGAATCAGCTTTTGAAGAAAAGGGACTCCTGAGGAAATGCCCTTACCCAATCTTTGGAAGCGCAACATGCCGGCGGCCCAATACACGAGAGGGGGGGTGGTCATTTGCGGGGTGGGAACATTGTCAAAAACACAGTCGCGAACTGCCGGCCACCCAAGAGAGGCTGCACGTCATAGCACTACAGCTGGCTGGCATATTGAGCGACTTCTGACAAGGGATCGTGTCCGAAGAAGAGGTATTCAGGAAAGGGACCGGGCCCTTACCCTCGCTGACAAGCGGGCCCGAGGGATTGTGTCGCGCTACTGGTTCTCGCTGCTTGCTATATCCTGCCCGCTACTGGACCAATACCTCCCACAACCAGCCCCGCGGAACCCTCAAATTGCTCTCGTGTTTTCGGCCCACGGTCGCCGGCAATGTATCCTACTAAACCCTCGAGGGTTGTTCAACAAGGACAAGCTCCCGAGTTTGGATGAAAAGGGCGCGCCTTGATGTTTCCCTTCAAAGGGGGTCACAAAAGGATCCAGCAAAAATGGGCAGCATGTTCTCAGCCGTATATCTGCGCTTTGGACACGTTTGGACTGGGAAGATCCTACCACAAGGGAACTAAAAGAATCCAACCTCCAGAAACCGCAAAAATGAGAAGAAACCCCAGCAGTATTGCTTCAAAGACCCAGGCAAAAGGGGAGACATGTAGGAAACCAATCCAATATTTTGCCTTGTTTATCGTCTTTGCCGAGTCTCGGAGCAACCCTGCCCAGCTAAGGATCAGTCGCTGAACGCCCTGCCTTGATCTGCTCCACCCAGGCCGGCTGCCCATCCTGGCAAGGGCAGTTTCGCTGTCCCAGTCCGCCCAGCGATTCAGCTTTATTCTTAAGACTGGCAACAAAGGATGAAACCAAAGACCCTTCAACTATTTGAAGATCAACAATACACCACGGTGACGTACTACACACGAAATTTCGCACTTCGCGAGAACTGCACTTGCTTAAAAAAGGTTTGCAACTCGTTGCTCCACTTGCTTCATACCCAACACCATGCCCTGCCACGATCCGAACCTGCGAACCTCCCATCCCCGGGCCTCTGCACTCTGGTTGTCGCTCGCAACGGCCACAATCTGGGCCCAGGCGCGGACTACATGGGTGGTTCTTAAAAATAAAATGGTTGTTTCCTGTTTGTTTTCCCTTCGAATCCCCCCCAGGCAAAGTGGGGTCGGAGTAGCGCTTTGAGATGTCCCCTACCGGTTTACCATTGTTGGTCTTGAGATGGAGGAGGTTCTCGAAAATCTACGCCAATTTTGCCAGGACGATCTGGGTTGCCATCAACAAAATAATTCCAGTACTAGTTGTTGAAAGTTGCTGAACACGACGCCATGCAGGGCAGACCCCATGCGTTTACACGGATAGAAGGATAGAAGAATCTCCTTGGAGACCCCTAGCGCTGTGAGGGTTGAGACTTGGGAGCTTTGAGCTTCAGGAAACAAGAAGAAACCTCTGTGACGCCCACGCAATCCAACACACCTCAAGCAGCCTCTGACAAATCCGCCTCAGCTAACGCTCACTTGGAGGCAGAAGCTATTGAGGATCACCAGCACTCCAGTGCAAGTGATTTGCTAGAGCTCATGGGCGTGGGATCATTTTGTAAGAACCCGAAATGGTTGCCTCACTCGAGCAGCGCAAAAAACAATCTAATTGAGGTCTGCTAGAAAGGAAACCCTGCGAGTACCGGTAAAATGCCGAGCCCAATTTGGTGCATCATTGAGTTCCTAGGGCATAGTCCCTAGCCCCTATTTACGTCGACTCAGACTAATCAACCTTGCGGGTGTTCCCCATCCCCTCTGAAAGGCGACACCCGCTGATGGCTGCGGCCTGCGCTTTGCAGCCCCCATGTGCAAACTTGTTGATGTGGACTATTTCTGTGGTTCCCCTTCAAGCAACCTTCTAGTGAGTGTTTAAGGCATTTGTAGAGGTTTGGACGCAAGGCCTTGACCCCCCCCCCCCCAAAAAAAAAAGAAGAACACAAAAAAGAGAAGCAACAGCAGGAAACAACTTCCCCCAAACCTCAACTGGGTTCGCTCGGATTTCAGCGTGAAAAGGGTGCCAGCTGTTTAGGTAATCTTAAGAGAAACCAACCCAAGAAATGGAACAAACAACGGCACTGCTGGGGTCCCTGCCACCAAGTAACATGGAACCTGACAGGGGCCCAGTCCCCTTAAAAGGAAAACGTCAGGTTCCATGTGAAAAGGGTGAGAGGGTACCCCCGGTTGTCTCCGCATAAAGCCGCCCCTCCCTTTTCGGTCGTTCGTCGCCTGTAACAGCGCCGTGGCATACTCCAGCACCAGCGGGTTCCGCGCCCGAGCGAACCTGCGACGGGCAGTGGCCTTTCCACTCGCGGCCCAAAAAAGGGAGCCGCCCAAAAGCCAGGCAAAAGCCAGGCCCTCGGGGAAGCCGAAAATGACCAACTGGCGCAACAAAAGCTCATGGTCAAAAAATGGGGAAAGAGGTCGGAGTCATATCCTTGGTCATGGACCCCGAAAAGCGGCCTTTTACAAGGCCTTGTTAACGGGTTGGCAAGGGATAGCCCCCCCCTCCCCCCAAGGAGGGGGGTCCATGACTTGGGGAAACCGAAAATGACAAACGACTGCCGCAAAAACCTTCATGCCCAACAATATTCAATAAGGGGAAAAAGGCCGACATCAATCCCCAAATAATGATATATCAACCAAAAGGTCCAACCAATTCAAGTTCATGGCCCAACGTGAGCCTCAGACAAAATTGCGACGGTTTCCCCCAAGAGGTGATGGAAAATTGGGTGAGCCCCCCTTCTCGTGCTCCCTAAACCGTAGAACTGCCAGCCTTTGTCAGTTTCTCACGTGGTTGCAGACAATGGTGGCCTATTGTTGTACAAGTATCCTCGTGACCACTTTATCTTCAAGCAAGGTCTTTGGGAATTTCAGAGGTGAAGTCCTATCCCTTGGGTTTTGCTCGCAAAGAACACAATTCTCCATAGCCATGGGGTGTCTGAAAAGACTTCCGACCCCACAATGGCAGAGGCCTTGAACACCATCTAGCAAAAATAAAGTAGGTGTGTCCGCTTTTGGGGACCCCCAAAATGGTGGTTTCCTTTTTGGTTACCCTTAAACCAGGTAGAGCATCCCAGTATGTCAGCTGAGCGGGCCCAATTTTCTGTTGGGAAGGTTCGACTGGCTCGCTGGAAACGAATGGCTGGAAACCAAGGTCTAGTGGACCGTCCAAACCACAGCTGACCTGAAAACGAGCCCCGCTTTGTTGGATACGCTCCAGGCTTTGTGAATCTGAGGAACCAGCTCCGCTTGCTGAGACTTGGGGGTTCCCTGCATGAGATCAATTCCTGGCGGAAGAACTCGCAGCTTTCTCTTGTGGCAAGCAGGTCGAGAGGCAGCAACCCAGAAACAGCACAGGTACATAAAGAGCCATCAGGCGCCAGATTAAGCGGGATACCGCAGATGATCCAGTCTTGGAGCGCCTCGCAGGTTGAAAAGGTGCCCCCTCACAAGTGGATGCCGGACACGAATCCCCACCTAACTGATGTCCACCGCAGGGACCCGTATCAAAAACCGCACCCAAATGAGGAAGAGGGTGGGATGCGATGAGCAACTGGGGCCCGAATTCGGCGACCTCGTCGTCGGCCGGCCTCATGATGCAGGGCGCGAGCTCGGTCTCTTGGAGAACGAAGTCTCGCACCTGGCAGTCGAAACCCGAAACCATGCCTTGGGAGGCTAGTGCCTGCGCAAATCGCTTAACTGCTTGTTTGAGGGACATTTCACCAAAACCTTTTCAATCCAACCAAATAGCAGCCAAGAAAAGAAGGGTGCCTCCACTTGTTCATGCCAGTGTGATAACGCATGTCTTGGTTTCCCAGTGGTCTTGGTAGTAACAGGAGCCCTTGTGGGGGTTGACCTGTGCTATTTGGAACCCACCAGAACAGAGAAAGGCTGCCGCTGAACGACTCAGAGGCCGGTTTCTCAGCACCTCACGACTCGTTCCCCAGATCCGGCGGGCTTTGATGTGTTTCTACAGCGCGTTCTGTTTCTCCTGGGAGAAGGCCTCCGAGAAATCCGGACATTTCACTGGGAATGGCCTGCAATTGCGCCTGGGAGCTCTCTGGTGCATTTCGGAGCTCTAGATCGGGGTCTGGCCAAATGAAAAAGGGATCCCATAGCTTCTTTTTTTTGGAGAATGGACAAACACAGGGACATGACATGAACCCCCTGCTTTTCCCTCATTGTGGGGAACTTGGCTGGCTCCCCCCCCCCTTTCGGCCCCTTCCCTCCCGCTGGACTGATAATTGAACGACAAGAATACAGTCAGTTGCTCACGTGTATCTGGCAACAATGACCGCATGCGGGTGCTGTACCCGATGTGGCAATCTGCAAGTTGAAGTAACAAGTTCTTCCAACGTCCACCTCTTTGATTGCAAACTTGGCACAGTCTCGCACCCACAAGGGACTTGATGTGGGCCGTCAATCTCACGCAGCGCATCTTCCAGGGCCCAGACGCCTCAGCAACTGTCATCACCGAAGTGCGCAAGGAGCTACGCCCCGGCACATGCATAAAGGTGAAGAAAGTCCCGATCTCGCATAGGACAGCATGACATTGTGCGTCCGCCAAGCGCGCAAGAAAGCAAAGCCGAACTTGTGCCAAACTGTGTTGGCAAGCTGGATCAACCAACCACCACACCCAACCACACCCAACCACACCCAATCACACCCAACTACAACCAACCACAACCAACCACAACCAACCACAACCAACCTCAACACTCTCTCATACCCATCTCCAGCTTGTGAACAGGAGATGAGTGAGAGAGGTTTGGAGGCTGGAAGATCTTTTGCCTCTATTCATGTCCGTTCCCTTTACTGCCTCCATCCATAAATCTCTGGAAAGAAGAGAAGGAGATAGGATGGATAAGGGAAAGGGAAAGGTAAGGCGAGTCAATAATTATCTTTCTAAGACTCGCCTGTCATTAGCATGTTCCTCATGTGATTCGTTTTTTTTTTTTGTTTTTTTTTACTTGGGAAAGCTGTGGATAGGAAAGACAGCACAACCAACGAAGGTACATGGCACAAGCCGAGCCTGAAACAGGCAGGCTAAAAATTCACGAAACAACAAACTGCAAGGGAGAACACTTGGTCTCTTTCCAACAAACATAAAAGTGACAGGACCTCTGAGGAAAGTAGTCTGCCTGAAGGGGCTTGTGCACTTTCATGCTTGTTGGTGGAAGGACTGAAACGACACAAATGCTGGAAGTCGCAAAACCCTAGCTAATCTGAACTGACCTGAACCAATCTTGACTAACCCTAAGTATGTCAAACCAATCCTAACCAATCTCAACGAAGCTTGACTGACCCAACCTAACCTCCCAACCTCAACTAAACTCTAACCACATCTAACCTTCACAAACCACTAGTCTGTTGAACTAACCTTGCCTAACCACAACTAGTGTGCACCAACCTTACCGAACCTTAAAACCTCAACAAACCTCAAGTCACCCACACTATTCTTAACTAAAGTAACCTGGACTGATCTTATCCAACCGCAACTAATCTAAACCGATCTGAAGTGGCCTTAAGAAATCTAAGTCAACCTTCACTGATTCGCCAAGCGCCAATCCAAACCAACCTCAACCAGCCTTACGTTACATCACCTACCTCGTCGTGATTCTATTTACCTATAGGCAACCAATGAAACCACCCTTTCAACACCAGGAACCTGTCTGGTGACCAATGCTGGTTTATCCACCAATTAATGTGGAACCTGAGAGGGGGTCCTGGACCCCCTGTCAGGCTCCACGTCAATTGGTGGAATGGCAACTTTCTCTTCAACCTGGGCCCTGAGATCTCCAGTTTTCAGCCGCCTCATCCTGGCCCAGAAGGCACTGGAAGGCGAAGAGGAGCTGCACCACGATCTCCTCGGGCTTCTTTTTGCACCAATTTTCGGGGTCGCCTTTTCAAAGAACATGTTGAGTGTTTCTCACAATGGATTTTGGACCCCCCTGTTGGTTGGCTTTTAAAAGGGGAAAAAAACACCAGGGAAACTGTTGTCAGTTGAGGATGTGACGGTTTCGCTATTTTGAGAAGCATCCACATGTGGGTCATGACCAAAAATCTACAAGGCCATGTGCACAATCAAAGGACAGGTATCCGCACCCATTTCGAGTGACTGTTCCGTACTAAGCTTTATCTACGCGGGCTCTGCTTGTGGCTGATGTCAGCGCTCCAAAACCTCTATGCTGCGCCAAATGGATCCGAGCCCCAACAAACAGTTAAGTGTTTGCTGGCTCAGTGTTTGCTAGCAAAACCGTCAGGTGAATCTGGCAGCATAGGTGTGTGTGTGTGTGGAGTACTGTTTGGGTACCTTTTTTGGGCCCCTGCAAAGCAGAACCTTCCTTGAAAGGGATACCAACAGGACACCATCTGGTTTTCGGGGCCTGGTTTGGGACAGACCCAATGCTTCACCCAGTGACATCCTGGATTTTAATTTGGGTGGGCCTGGTACCGTGTCCCTTCCGAGCTAACAAAGGACTTTTGCGTATTTCTGCAACGGGCAGAAGGCGAACAAAAAGCGAAATCGCCCTCAGCCATGTTCTAGCACCGCGCGGGGCAACGCCCGACTGCAAAGGGATCCTTTTGCAGAAACCACATTCGCCCTCAACAAACAAACCAAAAGCAAAACGGCAGCAACGCCTACCCAAGGAGCACGCGATGGTTTCAGGCTGGTATCGCTTGAGGTTGGGGTTGAGACCATGTCAAGAAAACCAGTTCTGGGAAGTTTCCTGCCGCTCAGTTGCTCAGTGTCTCTGTCATCCCTGCTTTGGGGTTGACGGAAGGGTGGAAGCCACTGAACAACTTTTCCGGACTTTTCCGACATGTCGCGCACGATCGGCCTCTCGGCGGAACGCGCCCTCCACACTGGTCAAAAACTTGCACAAGGGGCAGTGATGCCCGGGGTGCGCATTGGCGCTCCAAAGGTGGCCAAGAACAGAGCGCCAACCACATTGCGTGGTCGGGGCGCCGCCCCGCAACCGGAGATATGCAAAGCAAGCGCATCGGCGCCACATGGGTGGCCCAGAACAGAGCACCCGCTGCATTGCGCGGTTGGGGCGCCGCAAGGTGAACCACGAGCGCTTAGCGCTCTCCTGAGGTGTCCAAGAACAGAGTACCAACCGCATCGCGCGGTTGGGACGCCGCAAGGTGAACCAGGAGAAAAGAGCAACGCGAGAGCGCCACAGGCAGTGTGTTCCAGCTCATTAGTTTCGCCGTAAACGCACCAGATGCCATGAATGCCGGTAACCCAGTGAGTCCATAACACCAGACTGTACAACCCCATAGCGCATGATCTCGGCCATGCTCCCGAACCACTGGCTCAAGCAAAAACTGACGGCCCGTCGCCCCTATCCAAGTTCACGGCCCTTCCAGAAGAACAGGAAGAGGAAGCCCGGCACTGAGGTAACCACGCTGCAGTCGCATAAGCGCCACGGGGAGGAATCAGCCCCGTGCTCCTAGAAAACTTGCACCTGCGCTTCATATCGCCTACAAGTTCTAGGAACACACAAAGCCCATACGTGTTCAAAGTGAGCAGTTCCGAACTCTCCACAAACCAGACCACCCTTCGCCCTGCATGTGAGGGAAGGGCGCAAAGGAACTGGCACGTGCGCGGCTGAGACAAGCATAGTCAAGTGTAGCCTCCTCTTGATGTCGGCATGGAAGAGCACGCAGAGACTGCGAAGAGTCCACGGCAATGCAAACCAGACCGATGCCCACATTCGTACAATGCTCCAAAACTACAGAAATGTATTGCAGGATGGTCGCTGCACTCAAGGCACCTTGCATGCCCACTGCTCTGCGCATGGCCAGGACCATGAACCACCACACGACAATCCAGCAGACATGTGGGCCTGCATCTCCATCTCGAAGTAAGACCTACACCACGGTGCACCCACCCTGTAGATCATCGCAAACCCGTGTCCATGGCGCCCCGAGCGATCGGCTTGCGCGGCCCACCCTCTGGTAGGTTGCTTGGAATCCACTGAACAACTGGGAGCAAACCTCAACTGGTCTACGTCGGAAGCTTGGTAGCTCGCCTCTCACAAAAAAATCACCGGACAGTGTCTCCTCATCTTCTCGTTTCTCGATCAGCAGGTCCTCACAGGGACACACCCGCATTGCCACATGGCAGGTTGGTTGACTTTTTGAATGTGCACGGTGGCGTGTGTTGTGAGTAGTTGGATGTTCTGTGAGTAGTTGGATTCAACCCCTTGTTTGGGCTACAAACGCGCGACTTCAAGCATGGGGTTTCTACGCTTCCAGCAGAAGCTGGCGTACGGGTGAAACATGTGATGCCCATGTGCAAACATGCACAGGTGACGACAGCAAAAAAGCAAAAACAAAAAAAAAAAACACTCATGAACACTGTTGTTGCATTTAATTCAGGTGCCACATCGCAGTTCCTAACTGCGGAAGTAATCCGGGTTCGGCCCCTGTGATCTGCAGGAAATTTGGTGAGTTGCCCCATGTCGCTTCCAAATAAGCCAAAGACTACTGGATTTGGACCAAACCTCACTGCCTCAGTTTGCTACCGCGACGCCTGCATCATGGCCGGTAGCCGCGACTCTGCGACGTGCTGCACAGACTCCTGGCGCAAGCGCTCTCGCCTTTGGTTTGCAGATGAGTCCCTTGCAGATCAACATGGAACCCAAACAGGGTGTCTTTGTTGGTTTCCATTTCCATGTTCCTTTACAGCAGAGCCGCACCAGGGTGTTCTGACTTCACAGTCACCCCCAACTGATCGCATGCAAAATACCACCATGGACCGTTTTCAATCGAAACACGTACGAGGAGGTTTGAAGCGTCCCAGAACGTGGCCAACAACCGCCCTTGTATCAAGACAAGTTGGACCCTTTTTGTTTTGATTGGGGAACTTATATCCACCAATGATGTTTGACGGTGTCGCCTAGCTAAAATCATCGCCAGGTGAACTATCACTTGCGGGCAGACATTTGATCGATCCAGGGATTGCGATCTTTTCATCTGGTGGCCGCACAACTCACGCGTCACCGTCAAAACTCTTTGCGTGGGCTCCTTGAGTAGGATTTCCTTACCCATAGGTTGGGACCTGAACAAACATAGGAACTTGGTGTGGATAGGTTGGACTCTGGGCAAGCTTGCCCTGTCCCAGCACGCTTTTTCGTCCCCCCAAAGCCATAGACGACCAAACGTGCAATCAGATAGGCCATAGAAAAAAGTCAACGGTCATCTCAAGATGCTGCGGGACCCCTATTTAATTGATATTCACCCAATCTTGCAACAGGCCCCTCTGTGGCGTGTTCTGTGTAACGCTGGGGCACAACCCTACCTCAAAGCAGCGCCGCACACACCCAAGCATCAAAACAACATTTCACGAATCATGCCGCACGCACGCGACAGCAGGCAAGGTTGCTGATGAGCAGGATGCACTCCAAGACGACGTCATCCTGGCACACCCAATGGCATTCACCCAGCAGCGACAATGAATCAACCCTTTTGGAGGCTGCCCGACAGCTCTGAGGCCAGCACGTTAACTCCTTTCATAATGTAACGTGGCAACAAACCTGCCTTCTGTCTTCAAGTGCCGGGGTTTTTCAGTTATGCATTCATGCAAGGCCCAAGCGGCGGTTTAGAGGTCCCCCTTTCAGGGTCTGACTACCAACATGTGAATCTGCCCAAAGGAGTCTGAACTCTGGCAACCAGGCCATAATCCTTGCTGTGGATGAGACAGGCCCAAATTTTGATGTGGCTCAGAGCCACAGGGAACCACTTTGAAACGCATGGTTGATTGGGGACACAAACACGGGGTGCCACGGGGGTTGCAACCAGGAATCCGCTTGATTCAAACTGCACTTGATTCGAACTGTGGCCACGTAGGCGGAGCAACAGGAAATTCGATAGAGCAACGGGTTCATGAGGAAATCCGGTGAACCCAGAGCGCGGCTTCGCACACCACACAAGTCGTTAGTTCGTGGTGGTTGGTTGTTTGTTCTTTGTCTTGATCTTTATCGGTCGTTCGAGAAAAAGATTCCCCATTCTTTCCAAGGATCCTTCTTCTCAGGAAACCAGCTGGTTTTCGAAAAGAACGATGGTTGAAAAGAATGGGGAATCCGGAAGCAACCCCTAGACCGCTGATGTGCTTTTCTGTCACTGTGTTGATGCTGGTTGTCGTTCTTTTGTCATTTCTGTTGCTGCTGTTGTTTCTTCTTTCAGGCGGAAGCGGATGTTGTTGTTTGTCATGTTGTTAGACTGTTTGTCATGTGAAACCGGTTTCTGCTGTTGTTGTTGCCGTTTTGTCATTTCCTCTGTTTCTGCTGTTTTCTTTCACTGTCCATGTCAGATTCTGTTTCTGCTGTTTCTGCTGTCTTTCTGTTGCTGGTTAACCCCCCCCTCTGCCTCGGAGAATCCAGGGACCAGCAGCCGCGTGAGGAGCTCCACGAGCCCCGCCTCGCAGAGCTCCCCCCAGACCACCTGCCAGAGCTTTCGCCGGTCGAAAGGGCGGGGGGTTTGGCCGAAACGGGGTCTGCCAATTGTGTGTGATGTATGTACATATGTCTACATCTAGATGTACAAATACGTCACAAAATAAACATCATTATACATGTATATGGTACCATAGATGCATATCTATATAGATAATATATACCTTTGTATTTTACATGGTACCCCCTCGTCAAAGCTGTAATGTGTTTGCTTTATTTTCGTCGCCAGCCTGACCCCTACAAGATGCTAAGCACATCGCACATTGCTTGTTGGTTGATTGGATTTGACAGGGCTTTGTCATCTGGCTGTCCCTACCATTCAATTGCCCTTCTGACCTGGCAAATGTATGCCGCCCTTGACCTTAGAAACCTTGGTACATACACAATGGGAACCGAACAAATCCGATTCGAAATGCCGTGTCAGAACTGGCGTGCAGAACGAAAACGCTGTACCGAAAGCGCATCTTTGTCAATCGCTGGGTGAAACCCTTACGAGGTGGCAACCCCAACTGGTCCAAACTAGACAACATCTACACATAGCGGGGCAAAGGAGATGGCTCACTAACAGTACAAAAAAACTGCATCCGTGCCTGACCACTGCGTTCTCCCAAAGGAAGCATCTCTCCACTCCGATAATCATCTTTTCACATGAGCCCAAAAGTGCGACCTTCAAATAAAATGAAAGCATAAGGAAGCAAGTAAGGGCCCATGTGAGAGTCACTGGAATGTGTCAATGTCAGAGCGCACCCATTTTGGGGAAAGCGCCTTCAAAACTGTCGCTCATAAGCATTGAAAGTGGAGTTTGATACCTAGTGTGCTGAGTTCTGGCAACTGCAGGTTGGTGTCCCAAAAAAATTGCAAGGAAAACAGCAGGAAGCTGTCAGGGATCCGAATCCAGATTTCAGGAAACATCCGTGTCCATGAATATGAACCTGCAGTAAAAAGACATGCTTGGACCGAATTACTTCGGGCAGCGCAACATCAATTTGCTCCGCAGAGTCCTCCCTAAGTCGACGAAGTACTGGAACTACTTCCGGGAATCTGAAATAAGCGCAAACCGCAAACCGCAAACCTGGGCTGCCCTCAGACCCCCCGCTAAAAGTTTAGCTTTTAGTGGGTTAAATTGAAGCTAGCACTAAACACTAAAAAAGCCAAAAGGCTAAGGGGATGGCTGCGAGCCAGACAAAGGATACATCATGCAACCAGCCATCAACAAAATTCACCCCAAAGGTATCCAGCCAAGATTGCCGCCACCGGGGGCCCTTTCCGCACTGCTAATCAGATGGCTTCGGGCGCAAGGGACTCCGGCCGCGATGTTGATAGAAGGAAACCAAAAGGGAATCCTGGCCATTTTGCGCTCGCTGTCCCGTATCTTACACAGCCACTTGCTTGTTTGCTGGATAGCAGCAAGCCAATTAATAGAATACACATGTCCGCATCAAGCCGGTGGCCCAGTAATTGCCGTGGTCACTCGGGCCAGCAATCGCACGCAGGAAAGCCGCATCCCCTTTTTCCTCGCGCAAAAGGAGCCCTGACCGGTGCTGTCAGGGGATTTAACGGAACGATTCCCCGTCTTGTTCCCTGCCAAGCCCAAGATAGGATAAGTGTGTGTTTGTGTGTGTGTGTGTGTCTCTGTTTGCTTGCCCGTCTGCCTCTCTGGCTGCCTTGCTTCTGTCTGGCTGTCTGTGTGTGTGTGTCGGTGTGTCTGTGTGTCTGTGTCTGTGTGTCGGTGTGTCTGTTTGTCTGTGAGCCTGTGCATGGGTGTCTGTGCGTCTGTGTGTCCGTCTCTCAGTCTCTGTCTCTCTGTGTGCGTCCGGATCTGTGTTGGTGTCTGCGTCTGCATGTGTCGGTTCCTCGTTCCGACCTTTGCCAAAGAGAGGAAACTTGCCAAGCCATTGATTTATCCCAAAACTATCCCAAATGGCCGGTGTCTCTGAAGCTTCAATCTTCAAAGTGCCCAAACCTTGGAGCACGTGCTCTCGACGAGCACGTTCTTTCGACAGGGAGCCTGACGTATCTGGTCGCCACAGGAACGGGCCTGAGCTCCCAGCTTGGCCAAGGACAAACGTGGGCTGCGTATTACGAGTTGAACCTTTTGTTGCTGCGGAGTAGGCCGACTGTAGACCCCCTGCAAAAGATAACGGCTTGCTAGTTGAAAGGGAAACTGGTGGAAAACCCAAAACGTATCCCAACAGGGCAAGTCTGGTAACAGGTACAAGAAATTTGGGCTGTAGGGACAGTTTTCGTTTATTGGGCGACCAAAGTGAAGCCAACAATTTCAGGGGCGACAGGCTGACTTTGACGCGTACACCACCCGAAAGCGATAAAATCATGTTAGGAGCTTCCTACCAGAACTCAAATGATCCTTTCGTCCTCTGCCCGAAAAGCTTGACTGCAGGTTGGTGGAATAATACAGATTTGTCCCACAATCCTAAAGAAACGGACCTTCGTCGTGGCTGAGCTCCTTTTACAGCTTGTTGTCACAGCTC